ATTCGTAAGGCGGCTGGTTCGAATATTATTTCGGGGCAACTGCTTTTACTAGGAAATTAATTGTATTTATTCTATTCTTGGCCAATACTGAAAGAGTATGTGAGCCACAACCTCTTTAAATACCCTTTCTGTCAAATATATTTGTAAATTACTGTGCAGCTAATTGAATGATACCCAGTGCATTCATGTAAAACGACTTATCTCATAAATATGGTTTACGTGGTATTTCGTTATCAAGGCTATAGCTTCGTTCATGTTACAGCGCTTCCATAAGTTATTTCTTGTTTGCTTTGTTTTATTTGTATGTAGTCGTGTTCAGCAACACCAAAAAATAAACACAGCTACAATATCTGACTGATATGTCGTAATATTTCAGTTATAATATTCAATATTTATGTTTCATTGTCTGAAATGACAGACGTATTTCAAACATGTCGCATTCAAACGTCTGTTTCAAGTATAAAAGGGCGTCAAACATGTGATCCATAATAAAAAGGAACATTCGTGTCATTAAGTTTGATAGTTTTAATAAAAGTATGTGATGGAACGATTTTAATAAAATATTGAATATAACGCATGTTGGGTTGTGGAAACGAATTCATACAATTACAGAAGTATGTAATGTATTGGATTTCAAAGTCAGAATAAAAATATACATATCATTCGTGATGATATATTGCACTGCGCTCAACAGTTGTTCTGCCTTGTTTTAAGGATTGATGTTGTGGCTGGCGGGTGCCAATCCCCAGCCAAGTATCTTTTATCCTCCACCCCATACCCCCGAGATGACTGTGTGTCAAAGTTGACGTTGGGTTTTGAGGAAAGACTAACTTATAGCATTATGTCCGTCTGTCTGTATCCCACCGATAAGTATTGAGTTTGCTAGTCGATTAAAAATTCTGCACGAAGGTTTTTCTAGTTCAAGCTGTCACTTCATATCTCTTCAAAGTCACAGCAAAATCTTTGAACGTCGCAACACAAACAGCGGGACAGACTAACACCGTCTTTTGCTGAACGCGGTCAAATATGTCCCTACACAGTCCCACAAATATTATTATTATAAATATAAACGTCTTTTTCCTTCTCCCAGTCGTATCTTGCTAGTTTCGTTGTTTTATAGGCTGTTAAAATAATTAATTGCAAAAAATGGCAAAATATATAATTTTACACGATACAAAATTGAAATTCAATCGAGCTTTTAGAAAAACAGAAGCTCAGTGTCATGGTGATGAGTTTGACTGTAACGGAGAAGGCTCTCTGCTTTCTCTCGTATTTGTCTTGGCACGCATATTGCGGCTGGAGCGGTAATTTGCACAGGAACCTCCTGGCTCGTGCACTGAATATACACATTTCGACGTAGCCTGAAACATCTAACTGCTAATCACGCTTAATTGGCTGTACGCTGCATATAATTAATTTCAAACTCAAGCCATAGACAAATCGTAACTTGACTGTTTCTAATATCGCCTACTTCTGAAGGAATATCAGAGGTAGTTGATACGTTCATAAATTGATTTTTTGAAACAGAAACAGAAAAAATTACGAAATCGATTCTTGAATGAATGTCAAGAGGTGGCGAAGTATACAAGATATTTCTTGTTTTGTTCCAGTATTAAAGACTGTTAAAATGCCCTTTAAGGGTAAAAATTGTCTAAAAAATTATTGACCGTAAGAATGAATTTCGTGCTGAGAGAGCCCTTCATTTCGTCGAAAACATGCAAAATCTAGCACAGAACAGTTCACCCACCTTTGTTCTCAGTTCTTCGTTCTACTGACTCTTATCAAACGCATGCTTCTCCAATGAATTAATTGACCGGTTAATTAAGTAATTCTTTGTCTCCTCGCTGTTAGGGAAGTGCATTGATTGAGGCTGCGTGAAATTTAGCAGGAAGTGGAGAACATTCCACGGTGAAAACCTTCATAAATGTCTGTTCTCGTCTTCTGTAGGTAGTACGTTTCTCCGAAACGTCGGTCCTTACACGTCGTTACGTCCCAGGAGATCAAAACCGACATCTTTACTGATATCGTGCGCCTGCATATTTATTTCTACACTCTCTTTAACGGTGTGACATGCAGCTTTCGTATTTATGAAACAAAATTCTGCTGTGACACACACAAAGGAAACAAAGTAAAATTTAATTAATAAACGGAATAAGGATATTAAGACATACAGCTGTACACATTTTTGTTAATCTGGATCTGTGTTAGTCTTGAAGTGGTTCTTGGTTTGAATCCTACTAGTGAATAAAACCTCAAAAATAAAGTCAATAAATTATTAATCAGTGTTAACGCATGTGTTATTATGCAAACACTTCGGTCAGACTTATCTTTCGCAAATGAAACTGTCCTGTATGGCATTGTTTGTGTGTGACCATGACCTCGTGATTTGTGGGTAGGGAGCAACCACTTAGTTATGCTGTGCACAATGCTGCCATTCGCCAGTGAGAATTCGCTGTGCAGGTATATCACATGAAATATTCGTGGTGAGACGGATCGAGGTATCCATTGTCCATGCCACCGCTGGCAATTCAACATCAGAGTTTAGACGAACGCAATAACTTGAAACTTAGCGTGAAACGCTTAACAGAAATTTGTCAATGCTGATCTGAGCAAGTTTATCAGAGCTGTGTGTTCTTACAGATCTGCAAAGACATTCAGTGTTTCCTTATTTAATGCGTCCTCGAATATAAATCACATTACATTTTTAGAAGAATAATTGGAGGAATTACAGATATACTGACCAGACTTATGTCTGTTGAATAATTTGTGATACGGAAATTTTTCTATGTATTAAACGTTTGTTCTATTAATGTTCAGTATTCACGCGTCATTGCTTCTGTCTTGCAGAGTATTCATATAAAATTTATTGTCTGGCAAGCATACTTATTTTCAAGTAAAACTTCTTAAACACGATTATAAGTTTGATTATTGGTTCTAGGTAAAATTATTAAAATAGTTCTCGCTAAATAATGACACTTCCGGTTATATTTTCTGCCTGACCGAATCAAAATCACAACGCAAATCAATATATTCAGAAGTATTTATAGATATGCCTGCATATCCTACATGGGAAGATTAATTAACTTCGTATTTAGTTCTCCTTCATTCCCTTAGATACATCCTTCAGTGCTTGAAGAATATGAGTCTGGACGGATTATGCAACACGTCTGGGCGTGGTAAAGAGAAGAATCCCAGTGCTCCTGACCGGCATCGAACTCTGTTAGTACAATATTTAGAGCGTCACTACAAACGCAGCTATCCGTCAGTCCAAATGGTATGATTACAACTTCATAACTTCTTAAATTTGGGTTTTGTTAGTAAACGTTTTTAATATTACTGTCGGTCATCGGACCTTAGATTTGTTGGTAATAGCTTGGGAGAAAAGCAGGTAATCGGATAGTAGGTATGACACTTTTGAGAGAATACCACGTAATCATGTGTAAGGTTTGTTATTTTGGGGATCCCTAGGAAGGCATGATGACTCAGAGGAGCGACACATTTAAAGATAAAGGTTACCTCCTGTGTGTAGCTGATGGTCGGATGGACCCCGATTATAACTCACAACTTAACGAAGACATAAGAATAAGCAGTTGTGCGTACGAAGAGAGGGTCCCGATCAATATATTGGTTGCGCCGTGACCTTGTTACTAGTATGAAACTTGCTTCACCCAGAGACACCTACCGGTAATCAATTTATTGGAACTCTACAGTTTACAAACAGCAGTATAATAGTATGTGTGGTTTAATGAATTATGTCTGCCATTTGGAATTAATTAATGAGAAGAGTTTGGAGTTTGCTAACAATATTAGACTACCCAGTGTTATTAAATATTGCTAATACGCGAAGAGAGATTGGACCTATTGTCCCATAGGAAAAGTAATCTTTAAAATGTTACCTCACCTGACTGTACCAGCAAACATCTGCCGTAAACTGAGCTCGTGTCGACTTGTCTTGTCTTATTTATGTGTATGTACGCACGTGTGTGAGTTTACAAGTCAAAAATTTAGTCCGTTTCTGTATTAATTTGAATAAATAATTTTGATGCGTGAACATTTTAATGTAACTCCCGCATGCAACTATTATTTAACTCTTATTATGCAGCAAGTAATTCGTTGTTAAAGATATTGTTCATTAGAAATTCGTGTCTGCTAATTGTGTAATTATGTAGTATTATTAGTGGATAGAGTATTATTTTCCTTGAGGAGCTAATAGTGGTTCAGATAGTTTACAATTACCCTCTTTTTACGAAACCCGAACATTCATTACCGTGTTCACAAGAATCCAGATTTTTACCAAAATTTTGTGTGTATTCACCATCGCTAAGATTCGCACTACCAGCTAATTTAAACGTTTATTAATTTTTTTGTCTTTTAATGTTTTTGTATAATGTATGTTCCCAAAATTTTGAATGTTTTTCACTCTTTTCCATGCATGTAACCTGTTCGCATAATTGTCAAGTTTTAATTGTCTTAGAAAGAGATGTGTAATCGTAAAATGTATGTTTTGTAATCTCAATGTTTCTTCTTGTTCGTCTTCTTCTACGCGTGTTCCAAAACTCTTTAATTAAATACGAATATATTTAATTATCCTGTCCTAGTATATCAAACCCTTGAATTACGAGATTCGTGTTGTACATCGAAATATTGCACTCTTTTGAACTGTGTTCCGTTGTGTTGTATTCAGTAAATGGTTTTCGTATTGAGCGATCCTCTTCGTTATAGGTCTGTTGTTAATTTAGTCTGTTACTTGCAGTGACGAGATTTTGATTTAGGCTGAAAGTGTCTGACAGAATTGCTTAGGGATTTTTCTCATTCTTTTTTAAATTGATAAGCTGTTGTACATTTCTCTGGAATCAAATAACAACCAATTCCCTTCAGACATGATTTGTATGATTGTCTTTGAAAATTCTAGAAACGTTCTAAAAACGCTTAATTTAGGCTACTCCGAGGTATTTATTGTGTTTCAAAAAAATTAAACTTCTGTTCTCTCTTCATCACTGAATTCACAATATGCTTTTGGACTTACTCGAAGCTAGCTGAACTTAATCGACATCTATGTACCCTATATCTCAATATAACCTTTAATATCTCCTCATCTACTCTTCGGTCTCCCCAGTGATCTTTTTCTTGATTAAAATTGTGTACACACTTTTAATTTTTCTCACGTTTCTGCATGACCAATCAATTTAACCCTTCTTGATCTTTTAGTCCTATAAAGAAACGTTCGAGTTAGGAAGATCCTTATTACGCAACTTTCTCGCCTGGATATGAAAAAATTAGTTCATACAGCGTAGTATTATGAACGGAGACATTTTATACATATCTTCCTTTCTTCTCAGTGTTACCACGGTTACGCAATTTTCTTGACATTGTCAGTCTGTAACATCTCTTTATCCCAGTATACACAATCGTCATTTCATTGTAAACAATGCATGTCTGTCTGTATAATTATATAACTACCAACTATCTTGATAAACTGATACAATTGTAAGCAACCTCTGATCTGACGTGCCATAATTATTACGAAAAGCTTACGAAGAGAAACGAAACTTTCCGAATGTTAAACTGATAACTTAGACGTTAGTTACCACGCAAATACGAAGAGTGTGCTACTGCTGTGAGGAGTGTCTTAAGGTCTTCCAGTGATGGGTGATAATGACGTTATTGGACTTGACGACCATCTTGAAATAAGTTTGGAAGGTATCAGACAAGTTCTTACAAGGGAAATACCGCCTTACATTCTATCCCGACGACAAACATTCCAGTTAGGACCATCTGATACAGACTTCGTATGTTACAAAGTGTTGAATTGCCACTTCACGTCATTGTTGTCTTCGAAATCTGTAGGTAATATGACGTTCGATACATATCGTGCTGAAATAGAGATGGAGGAAAGTAGAAGTATTAAATTAGATGGTGAGGAAAGTCGTGAGGTTGTGATAAAAGAGACCTTAATAGTGAAGACGATTAAGGGTAATTCAGGTTCTCGAGATATGTATGACTCGAAACGCCTGTTTTATGTGGAAAGTAAGATGTTCAGTGATATTATACCGTTATTACTTTCGTCACCATTTACAGCTGCTTATTACAACCGGGAATCTTCAAGCAACCTTTGCAAATCGCACTTTTTATTTCCCAAATGCTACTATTCATGTAGAAAATTTAAGGACTCCCTGATTGTACTTGAAGATATTCAGCAGAGTGGATACAAACTTGTAAGAAATAACTCACAGTTTATGGACTTTAACCACATAGTTCTTGCCTTGGAAGGTCTGGCAAGGTTTCACGCTTTATCGTATGCAATGAAGAAGAAGGACCCTCAGAGTTTCTACAGCCGTGTGGTACAGGAAGTCGTACCAGGAAAGAAATACCGTGCAGAAGACAAAGCCAGAGAAAAATTGTATGCTTATGCTTACTTGAAGACTCTGCAGTTTGCAGCCCTCCAGCCGCTAGAAATGTTTGCAGTAAAGTACCGTAACACAGATGACAAGTATGATTCGGGAGCAGAGCGTTTAAAAACTTTGTTGCAAGATACTGTGGGTGTCATTCGCGAACTGCTCATTCCAAAAGAACCACTTGCAGTACTATGTCACGGAAATTTTAACATAAATAACATTCTTTTCCGGTACGATACAGACGAGAAACCTACCGAAGTGAAATTCACGGACTTCCAAAACGCCCACTATGCTTCTCCAGCAATAGACTTGTCTTTGTTCCTGTTTCTGAATGCTAGTCCCGAGCTCAGGGCTGAACGTCGGGTGCAGTTGTTCTCTTCCTATCATCTGACTCTCCTGAAGGCGATGTCTGAATTTATGGACTGTGCAGAGGAGGAGCTGTTACCTGAGTATAGTATAGAAGCTTTCAAGGAAGAATTTTCCAGACATGCAGTTTATGGCTACATTCTAACAGCTGGTTTTGTGGCTTCGGCACCATCAAAGCGAATTCATATTCACAAGATATTTGAAATGTTTAACGATGGTTTGCCTTTGAGAGAAAATATCGACAAGTCTATTAGAGAAAATTTAAAATTGGAAGGGGAAGAAGTAACTTACAGATTGGTTTTATTGATAAAAGAAATGGTGGATGAAGGATACTTGTAGCCGCCACTCCGATTAGTTTCCATGACTTTTTGGTATTTTCTTTAAGTACTATGAAACGTTACAGAAAATTGACTGTTTTGTGTTCTTAGAACTTGAAAAATAACCATGAAATCACAAATATTGTTCATTTAACTAGTGTGCACACATATTAATAAATTACAAGTAACTTTGTGTACTCTGAAACTTTAAGTCATCTGTATGTTGTTTTAAAGCAGTGCCAAATAATGTTGCTGTAAAAATGTAGAAATAAATTTGGAATTTAACTAATTCCTATAAGAAGGAAAATGATCACTATTTGTTCTGAGAATCTTACGAAACACAAGGGCAAAATATGCAGTTATTAATTCTTAACGCAGGTGGTATATAATTGTAAGATTGTTTTGTGAAGTTCAGCTACATCTTTCAGTGTTACTAATTGCTGGCTACGCCCGCATGCAATGAAAATATTAACAGCTTAATCCTTGCCCTTTCTTGAAGAAAAAGTTAACTGTCGGTCTTAGGGGTCACAGTGCTTTCTAGGGTCATGACCGGTTTTTGTAAAAGGAACCATTGTCACAGAAAATCACGATTTTCATTTCTGTGGAGTTCTACACGTATAGTATCACGAAGGGACGTATCGGTCCAATTACAGATTTCGTTATAAAACTCTTGGAGCTTTGGAGGCGGGGTTAAATTTAATATTGTATGATTCACTAAGCTTCCGGAGAGTTAGTTTAGGGGCTTCTAGGCCGCCAGCCTTTGAATTTATAACATTGAAGCAGGCAGATGTGCTTCAATGCTTGAACCAGTTCGTCCGACATCCTTTGATTATTTTTACTTTGTGGCCATCTCCTATTTCCTCTGCAAAAGTCTCGAAGCAGCACGAAATACACATGTGAACCCGGAGATTTAGACTTTGAAGTGGGGATCTCATGTCTCTTGTTCACCCTAGAACCAGCCCCTGAAACGAACTTGCCCTGTGCTCATACTCGCCCATCACGAAAACAACCTCTGACTGACACCTCATTCAGCTAGTTAACCACACACATCGCCACAAACTCAAAAGACCCCCGAGGAGAAACCCAACCGCAGAGGAAGAAGATTTCGAGGAACTTGGAGAGTCGTGGCCAATATTCCTGTTTGCGGTTTCGGAAATTAATGCAAAGAATGGAGATTTTTTTCAGAATGAATGTGAAGTACGAAATTGTCACAGGGCTCGCATTATTTCCTGAGCAAGCAGCCATGCTTACAGCTTAAACGATCCGTTCTCTCGAATATGTGTGCGGGTGTGAAATCGTAACTTGGACTTGGCAGAGAAAAGTCACATTATACGTGTATCAGTGTTTTACGTTATCTTCAAGTAAACATCGCTGTAATTAGGGAGGCCTTAACCGAGATTAAATTTTGTCACTATAAGTTCGTCGTAAATTGCATTGTGATCTAAAGAAGTGAACATCTTTCAGGGTCAATACTAGTAAGTGAAGGTTCCTGTTATAGACTGCATCTGAAAAATCATGCGTGTGAAACTGTTCTAATTGAGTAACTGGTAAGGTTATAGTGTTGGTGACAACGACATGGCTGATACTAGTTGTAATCTGCAGCAAGGGGACTCTCTGAAGAGAATTAAACAGACCATAATTGCCGAAGTGCCAGCTTACCTCGAGTTCGCAGGAGGAAATTTAATAAAAGATTTAGAAAATGACAGTGATGGTATCACTTATAAAATTTTGGATTGCTCTGTTAAGTTAGTGGATCCACTTCAACTAGGATTTCATGCTGCATCGGACATGTATGAGGCAGAAATACATATAGAAGGCAACAATAGCAAACAGGTACACAGTGTGATGGTGAAAGCAGTGCCATCTAATGCAATACTAAGATCATTACAAAATTCTGAAGATCAGTTTTTTAACGAAAGCAAGATGTTTTCTGAAATAGTTCCATTGTTGCTTCAGACTTGCGCTAAGTCATCTTGTGGAGATAGGCATTCTTATAATTTGTCGGCAGTTTGTGACTTGTTCCCAAAATGTTACTACGTTTCGCCAGATCCTGAAAACGGCATGATCATACTACAGGATTTGAGAACACTTGGATACAAGATTGGAGGGGATAAGACGATGGTAATGGATTACGATCATATTGTATTGGCTCTAGAAGGGCTGGCAAGATTTCATGCTTTGTCTTACGTAATGAAGAAGAATGATTTCGGTAGATACGAACAACGTGTTGTGACTCAGATACGAGATGCAAGGCGTTTCGTGAGGAAACAGGCTGTATCAAATTCGATAACTGTAGGTTACTCGGAGTTCATGCGTCACACTACAATGTTGGCGTTGGACAAGTTCATCGAGATGAAGCTTGATGTGGGTGGATTGTATACGGATAAAATTATAAGGGTGCGACAAAAGATAGAAGATTGTAGTGCACTTCTGAGGGAACTACTAGCACCCGAAGAACCGCTCGCGGTTCTGTGTCACGGTGACTTTAACAGGAACAACATGCTTTTCCGGTATGATTCAGGCGGCAAACCTGCCGAAGTGAAGTTTCTTGATTTTCAAAATCCGTTCTATGCTTCTCCTGCCATAGATTTGTCGTTTTTCCTGTTCGTGAACGCTAGTCCAGATCTTTTGGGAAACTGTTGGGATGGACTGTTCTCCACATACCATCAAACACTTCTGGATGCACTTTCAGAGTTTCTGAACTGCCCGCAAGAGGATCTGCTCCCTGAGTTCGGTATTGAAGCTTTCAGGAACCAATTTTCTAAATATTCTCTTTATGGTTTTATGTTAGCGACTTCTTTTATCATAGCAAGTGCAGATAACGACCCATCTGATGTGAATCCCTTTGAAATGTACAATAATGGTATCCCAACTCTGCAGGAAATGGACATTTATGTAAAAGAAAATGTAAAATTGGTCAAAGTTGGAATTATTGATAGGGTGTTGCAGCTGACTCAAAAGCTGCTGGATGAAATTTGTCTGTAAAAATGGTGCAAAACTGTGTGTGATTACGGTTTGCGTGACACTCTAAATAATTTTCTGGTGGAGTTAAATGTGAAATATTCTCCTCAAACAGCAGCTTTTCATCATAGCTCTTAAAAAATAAACTTTTCGTCGTCGTATTTGTGACTAAAATCTTACTGAGGTAGCTCTCAATAACATTGCTGCAGCCGCATTATGGGAACCAATTTTTTTAAAAAAATTGTGTGTAAGGGCTTAGATATACGCCAACTAAACCACACTTTGGGGCCTCAAGATGTGAGGAGCCTGTAAAATGTTTTAACACTTAAATTAATCTGTTGTGTACTGTTAATCTTAGCTTATACGGTTGTCTCTGTACATCAGTGCTAATATAACGCTTTCACACACATTAGTTCCTTATTTATTCTTTTATTTTAATGTCCCCTTCAGTCAGAATAATATATATATATATATATATATTTCTTTCTTTTCTTTTTCTTTTTTTTTTTTAGTGTGAATATATTTTGAAATTATTTTATCTGTATATGGTTTACCAAGAGAAGTGACTCCCTGAGATGATAAAACACTGTATCAAAGTGGAATTAGGGCCTCAGAAGTTTAAAGTTCGGCCCTCACTAATAGGACAATACTTAAAAATATTCCATGGCCACATCCTTTAAAATCACCGCAAATAATATTCATATCATGTTATTCGACATTTCCTAACTTTGCACTTAATACAGTGTCTTTGTGTGACATGATATTAACATTCTTTGAACTTCAAAACCTTAATTTTCATTTCTTTAGCTTGGACACATCAACTGGCAGCTAAATTGAAAACAAAATCAAGGCTTGTTATAGGAAAGATTATGCGGGGATTTGCTCTTCTTTGCACGTGTTCCGATTTAATTGTCTCGACAATTTAATTAAACTTGCAAGACAGGGGCTTTGAATCTTTCCATGAAATTAATGCAGAGTGAGGCAACGCGATTTAGAGAATGCCAGAAGAAGAGACTCATTGAACTACTTTGTTGTCCAACAGTAATGAAGGTAACAGCAGTAGACCAAATGGTGATATGGTACTGTGGAAAAGAAAGGCTATTTATACGTGTGGTTTAGAGAATATTATTTAAACGTCGTCACGGAAATCATGAAAATAGACGCAAATAATCAATAAATAGCAAATTGAAGATTTCTGTCTTCTGGGTTGCTGCGATGACGCCCTGATGACGGAGGCAGTATGACCTCTGAAACATTGATAAACATCGACCAGACTACACAGCGCAATAACCCAGAAGACAGAAATATTCATACTCACCGCTGTGAATAGCAAATTCTTTACTAAGACTGATTACGTAACTCAGTGGAAGTGGGTATTTCTTCACAAAATCTCACCGTTTGGCCTTATTTTTAGTCGACTTCCCACCTGTTTTATGATATTTATTATTCTGATTATTATTATTATACTATCTACGTTCTCTTCTCCCAGTCCGTTTCCGTCCTAAACGTTCTCTTTATTTTTTAAAATTAAAATGCATACTGTATGCTAGAAGTCAAGAGCCTGAGGCCCGCGGGGAGTATGTGGCCCGCAGAACCTTTTTATGCGGCTCGCCATATGATTTGAAAATTAGCCAATGCAACATATCTTCTGCTACTGATGATAACATATAATAAAAGAGGTTTGCAGTAAAGAAAGTGTTTCTGATTCCTGTTTTGTGTTGTGTGCATCTTATAAATAAGCCATAAACAAGTTAGTAACAGTTACTAGTCTCATGTCAGAAACAACTCCTGTACCACATGCTACGTTCTTCGTTACTATAGCTACCAGAATCGACGTTGAAAGTCGGTAGTTAAAATGAAGAGAGCTGTTCAGTTTCAGTGATGATAATTTAGGTACAGCCTGTAGTACCAGTAATACAGCAGAGTTACGGCTTAATTTATTGGTCTTACATACAAACATTGTAAATCTGCGTTACGGACGCACTAAATTGCTCTTTGTCTTTAGTTACGCTGCAAAATGGGAACTCAGTTTCATAAGCGACTACTGTAATTAAATTTTAACGCTAATATTATCGAAATCATTCCATATTACTTTTAAAAAATTCTTTTAAAAATAATGAAATAATCGATTTCCTAAATCATCCACATGCAGATTGTATGAGCTAAACATGCCAACTACCATTGCTTGTATTCTATATGAAAGTGAAACTTGGTTTAAGATAAAGCAGTGAGCCTATTAGTTGAGGTTCAAATGTACAATTTTTGACACATATCAGAAGTTGTACCAGATTAGATAGAACTAAAATCAAAGATAGAGGGCCTATGGGCCTATTCATTGGGTAAGTGGAAAATAGATGGTTGCTGAGAAAATACAATTAATCCACCTCAGCAGAATGGACAACAGTAAAATAGTAAAACTTGCACTTCGATTACAAACTAAATAAATACAGAGGCATAAGAAAGCCATTCGAGAGCTGACTTTATCGTTGAAATTAGCTGAGTCCAGTATAAGAACACTCGTGGACTCCGCAGGCTTAATTACTAACAAAACTGCTGCCTAAGGATTAGGTCTAGGCATATAAAACGTAAAAACTTGGTTATAAACGTAGACTAGTCGACCTACAAACTGCGTACGAAGCATGATTCTATATATCAACAATTATAACTATGGCTAGTATGTAATTGTACTTACGCTCAGAAATGGTCATTAAGTGTCATGGACTTATTAATGTGCAGTTCTTTGCAGTCACAGCTAGCAGATTAAGGATTCTGAAGAAAATCTGGCTTCTTAAATTCCTCCAAATGAATATTTCACCGCCGCACAGTGAACGTTAGGATCGTACACGTAAAATTTGTAGATTACACTTAGTTTTGAACACATTCTGCCATTACACTGCAAAACTCGTGAACAACCAGATATGGCCCCTAGACACGGGATAGGGCTGGCTATGTGTTGAATAATCAGTCGCCGATAGGGGTGGTCCTGGGGTCTACGCTACGTGTAAAAATCACTTACCTTTAAAAATTAGGATGTTATAAAATGTCGCAACGGCCCACCGACTTAAACTGATATTTTGAGAATAGAAAAGGTACAAAAAATGTAATTATATGGATTAAACTGGCTGAGGATAGTGTCAAGTTGCGTGTTGTTGTTACTGAGGTAATGACATGTCGGATGTCATAAAATGGGAAATATCTTGACAATGAAGTAAATACAAACTTTTCGAAAAGTGCCTACATCTTTGAATAAATTAAGGTAGCTTGTTTATTTGTTTATATATTTCGTCGTTCGTTGTAGTATAAAACACAAATATCGATCAAAGTACCGAATGTGTTTTGCTAGGGGCATCTGATACATTTGGAAACTGCGAAACATGTAATTTGAAAATGTAATATTTATGCAAAATCGTGTATATTTTATTTCAGGTTAGTTGCAGTTATTAGTCGAACGATCGCCCACGTAGTGAAGCACGAATTACCATTACGTCCTTTATACTACGGTAACTCGGCAGTGATACCGCATATGACTACGTACTGACTCGTTTTATAAATATTTCCGTTTTTGAATATTTATGCGCTTTACATATTCGCACTTGACTCTCAAATGTTGTCTTTTCGGATATATGATGCACACAGTGATTTCAGAAGTAAATATTTAGAGACATTAATATTTTGCTGAATTGATATTTCTTTATTTAATGAATATATGTCTGCTCGTATAGCTTATTAATATTGATTGATTTTATAATTGAAACACACACAAATGTGGTAACGAATATTCCATGTACGTAATCATAAGCCGTAATAATGATTTGTAATAGCTGAATACATAACATCTGCTTCTAGACTATTTCGTGCATGTGATTTAGTGACATCAGAATGTGGTTGGTTGTCTAATTTGACAACAATTTTTATAGAATAGTAAGGGCTCTGTATGCTCTCAGAACCAGTGTAGCCCGCGTGTAATTAGTTCTTAACAAACACGTAAAAGATTAGTTTTTCAAATCGTTCAAAAATCTGATTTGACTATAAATTCAGTTTCTTATAGAATCACTTTATAGATTATTATTTACAATTTTTAATATTCACTGCCACTAGAGCAGATACATTAAGTCTTAATATACACATTTCTTAATAGAGTTTTCGAATTTTCGTGTTCATAACACAGCTCATTATTTGTTCATCAGCCAACATAGGGTCCTTATATAACCTAATAAAATAGCAGATACTAATAAAATATGATAGATTTATATCATAAATATAATAAGTTAGCTCAGCGGGAAAGCATCTGGAGTGTGTTCCAGAGAAACCGATTTCGATTTCTGTATGGAATAAGAGCTATCCTGAAAAGAGATTTAATGTTTCTCCTCAGTCCCTTCGGGCGAAATTGCTTTAGTTATGTTGACTTTGCTCCCCATTTCAGGATGTTTAACCTCAGCACAAGGGTGTAAAGAAGAAGAACTTTCGCTGAGATTTCTAGAGGGCGGTACTGAGGTCATGACAGACAGGATGTCGGATATTGTGGGGAAAATGTGAGGCTAGAAAGGATAATCGCTTGCTTTGATATCTTTATTTGCCTTGATACACGCAGAAGTAGTGACTAGGCAATTTCGTGCCACGAAAACTCAGTGTAAATCATTTCTAATCGAAAATGTCTCGTCGTGTTGTTGAAGGAAATTTAACGCAACTGGACTTCTCCGACTACATTTAAAGATCAAAGTGGTGACAGGACAGACCGACGCGTTTAGATATTCTGCTTGGACTTGTGGGTAGAAGCTATGGAGGCAGTATGCTCTCCGAAACGTCAGTATCTACCTGTAGGTCGACACTGCTCACAACCCAGAACAGCGTTAAATTCTCGTTGCTATGAGAACATTCTATTTCACACACCATTTGAGTTGACGCAACGAGTTTTAAAATTTACATAAAATAGTAACACTAGGACGAGGACTGTGACTAGTATAAGCGTAGTACTGCTGCTGAAATTAACATATTCATATCAAAAGTGTAACATTTATGTGGATAGAGCAGCTGCTCTCACAGGTCGCATTCGCATCTGTCATCCGCTGAACAGTCATTGTGTGGATGACAGAAGAACACTCACTGTAACTACGTATCATTTGTATTTCCTTATTCTTGTCCTTTGTTTGCTCTCTTTCCTTCTTCCTTACCTCTAATATTTTCTTTACTTTTAGTTCCATTTCTAGTAAAATGAATTTCTTGTGAGTGATTGTACTCAGCCACCATATACCTTAACAGACGCTGTGAGTCTAAACAACCAACAATGTTAGAAGTCTGTTAATTGTTTATAAAAGTGCGTTCTTTTACAGAAAATTGACGTATGCATTTGCTTACGTTGACATGTGTTAAATTGTGATTTTAATTATTTTACCATGCTAATCAGATTGT